AAAAAAAAAAAAAAAAAAAAAAAAAAAAAAAAAAAAAAACGCGCGTTTATCGACGACGGGCGCTTCGAGATATTCCCTCGTGTCGACATCCGCTGCCGCTCCGCCCCTTGGGCGCGCTCTTTCGTTTTCTGGCGCGCTGTGAACATTTTGGTACGCGCACCACTCTGCCCGGCCCCCTGCCCTCGATGGCCTCCATCTGCCGGCCCGCAACAAAACTTCACCCCCAAGTCCGGCGCGAAGCGGACCATCGACCTCCCCCCACGGCCAATGCTGCTTAAGGGGTAGGATAAGTAATATAAACAGTTCTTCACACCCAAGAGTTATTGATTGTCATGGGGTGACAGACCTCCCTTCAGTCTGACATCCTCCATTCGGCCCGCCTCAGGCCAGGACCAGTAAGAACATTTGGCTTAACAACCCCTTTAACCTGCCTCCAGGTGAGGACCACCATACCTACTACTCGAGTATGGTGACCCTTTGGCGCACGTCACGCTAGGACACCCAAACTGTAGTGGGTTTGTTCACCCTATAACAGTAGACCTCCCGTCAGTCGAACTGTCCCGTACCCGGATTTGACCACTGCGGTCGAGGACCGGCTCACCCACCAGTTTTTGGCGTATGGCGCTGGCTGCCCCGCCCAAGTTTTTTAACGACCCGGTCTAACCACTGTTCCAGACTCTGGCAAACCTCACTGGATTGCATCCTTTGACTGCGACATGGTTGCAGCTGACCCCTTTTGACTTCACAGGCCATACCCCCGGAGTCTTAGTCTCAGTCAACGACGGAATTCGACACTCGCATCGGGGACTTGCTGACCCCATCAGATTGCAACCTACTGCGGTAAGGTTCTAGCTAACCCCAACAATCAATTCATCTTTAGGTTAGAGTAGAAAACCCTAGGCACAGACAGTCAGACCAACATACCTAGCCCACAGTCAAAGAGTTCATGCCCCAGGTAACAAGACATACATTTCTCACGAGACGTCCCTTCAGAACTAAACAACAACAACAAACAGTCAATTGTGCATTCCCTAGATACCTCCCTTTAGCCTCAGGAAATACAGAGCGCTGATCCCAGAAAGGTCACTTCCCTCATCTGAGAAGACTTCCAAAAGACCTCCCGTCAGTCTCAAGGAAGTATAGAGATACTGGTCCCAGAGAGGTCTATTCCCTCATCTGAGACAGGAGATAGACAACTTAGTAAAGAAACACAAAGTTCCCATGCTAACAACTTTTTGGTCAAGCTGGTCTGAACTCCTTTATACTTATCTTCTTGATAACTCTCTTGAACAGACAACTCAGTCAAAAGACACGAAGTCCCTCCACTGACAACTCTCTAGTCAAGTAGAGTTTGACTTCTTTATGCCTGTCGTGCTCTCTCTTAGTTACAAGAAACTAATATCGATTTCCTTCTGATTTGCACACAACCATTAGTTCTCTGAACTTGATACTGCTTCAATTCTCAGAAGGGTGATCTCTCATCACTTCTCTCACTGGAGCTGCACCTTACAGTTTTTCCCCACGCAGGGATCTGATATTCATGGATAGACTGTAGCTCTGTATCAATGACACTTTGAGGGATCTGATATTCATGGATAGACTGTAGCTCTGTATCAATGACACTTTGATCTCATTAGCTCTCGTCTCTTATAGAAGAAAAAAAAATTAAGTCAAATGCAGAAACGAACACGAATCATATGAGAAATCGTTTCTCGTGTCAGAATTTAATATGTTGAAAATTGACGTACTAAATTGACAATGCGAGAGTAGTCAAAGTTTGTCGAAGTCCTTATCCTTGCAGTGCCTCACTGTCTCACTACACTTCTCTCAGTTTTATGAAACTGCTTTCTTACTGGATGATTGACTTTTCTTTCCTTTCTTTGCAATCATTGCAGGGAACATGTCAGGGTCTCTGAAGATAAACTTACAAAGCCTTAACCCTGACACCATATCATGAACTCTTGAACCATCCATCTCTGATATCTCATAGACCTTGCCCTCTGCTTCACTTGTAATTCTGTAGGGACCAAGCCATCTGGGCTTCGATCGTTTGGTCCACCGAGTCTCAAGGGAATTATCGAATAGGAGGACAATATCACCAACCTTTAGTTTCTCTTTCCTAATATATCTCTTCTTGTTCCATCTCTCTTGATCTGACAATCTGCTGGTTGTCATTCTCTCTCTTGCA